ACATCAACTAAACAATGACCAATGAACCAATAAAATGAGGTCAAGGTCAGAAGAACCCTCAAAGAAAGGCATGTGCACCATACACCAAAATAAATTGACCCATTACTTAGTATCAAAAATAAGTCAATAACCATCTTGTTGTCCAAAAAAAAAATCACAAATCAAGTGATCATCTTCAATTTTCGAGGCTGTACAGTTTCCAAGTTGGACACTGAATTTTACAAAATTCATATCGAAAAACGTATAGAGAGCTGAGAACATAAAATTGAGTTACAATCTTTATTTTAATTTCGCCGTTAAAAGTGGCGGAAGAAAGCAAAGGGATAGTCAAACTCATAAGTCCTTAACTGACTATGTCATGGCAAAAATTTAGATAACGATCAAACGACAAACGATAGTCAGCAGATCCTGTTCTACATGTGGCACCCATAGTGTTAAAATTCGTTTTCACTCAATTCCAAATTAAAATTATTTTTGTTCCAATAAAGAAGGAATTCAAGTTTTTACGGATTAAAATAAATAATAAGTTGTCCCCTTCTAGATATCGTTTTGCAACGAGCCATCAAACGCCTGTTGAACATCAGATTATATAAAACTAGTATGCATTGTTTTCAATGACGAACCCGGGTCCTGTTTTGTGGAATTTTACGACGAAACCGGGTCGTACACATTAACAAAAACGAGTCCATACATTTTGACATGACCTATTTCTTTTGTTCCATTCATGAAATACAAATATTGAGGTGCAAACAGTGGTTAATATCACAATCTTCATGTATATATTCTCTTTCCGTACGTTTCTTTGTGTACAATGTGCACAATTTAATGAGAAATTAAACAAGTTCGAGGTAAAGCTCACGCTATTCATAAATTTGCCGTTCATTTTTACTTATTTCTCCTTTAATCTAGAACTGTGGTTAAAAAAATGACATCTTGCAATCGAAAATAGTAATATAATTATCCATACTCTTCAAATCATATTCATACACATAACAAATCAATAAACAATAATAAAATTGAAAAACAATACTACTACCTTTTCTCTGTCTGTAGCTAGTCCATCATCCTACCGAGTATAAAACACTATCGAGACCAAACATTTGCAGGGGTACTTTAGACACAGTGAAATATGCACCACGAAATATAATGATTTAAATGGAAATGTATCAGAGTAATAATTAAAATACTGTCAAATAGTGATTTGTATCAGTCGAAAATTAATAGGATAGTGCATTGACAGAGCAACTTGACCACCACTAATACTTCACATAAATAGACATACAAAGGACACTAAAGCCAAATTAGTAAGACCAAAAACGATGTGCTGTATTCGAAATGAAAACAAAATTAAACTTACATTACTTCCAGTCATTTCCAGACGTCATGAAAATGCCTAGACTTATTAACAAAAACAATTGAGTGTTACTAAAATTCTCGAAAGAAATTAAAAAAATGATATATTATCTCCCTCCTGGTTTTTGATGAGGTTCGTGTTGTTAAGTTTTCTATATTGTGTTTTTCTACTGTTGTTTGTCTTTTTGTCCTTTTCTATTTTTGCGATGGCGTTGTCAGTTTATTTTCGACTTATCAGTTTCAATGTCCCTTTGATATCTTTCGCCCCTCTTTTAAAGCTGCATGATCCGGGATTGTGATTTTTTTCTCAAACAGATAGGATGATTATGATAAAAAGTTTTCATTACTCCGCCTTCTAATTAAGAAGTTTTGTCGGTTGGTGCCACTTTTTAATGCTTTTCTTTGCTGAAAACTCTGTCAAGTCTAAAATATTCAGAACCATATAATTCTTGATAATCACTCATCCATCACTAATTGGGATGGCCAAATGAAGATTTTATTTCAATAGTTTTTTAAGGTTTTATTTGATCAATTGAAATACTTACATATATCCAGCTTTCATCTCGGAACAGTTTCTCAGCTTTCACAAAATAATAAAACGCAGCGAGATTAATATCTGGCGGCACATGCTTGGTGTCCAGGGCAACAAACTGTTTGAAACTAAGTGACGCAACAAATGTCCTTGGCAATAAAAAATCCATTTCAAAATAAGGATGGAGTAGATGGACCAACTCTGGTGGACTGCAAATAAAAAAAATATTAGAATACCAATGCATTTATAGGACATTTGAGTGTCTTCTCTCTATTTTCCTAAGGGTGTTCACAATTAATGCTGGTTGACTCAAATTGGAAATCTAACGATTGTTTCTATTTTCTAAGTTTTATATGAATTAGTACATTGGTTTCAGAGATCTTCACCAGCAGTGGTTGCACATGAAAAAGAATCATCATCTATAGTTCTTAAAAAAATATCTGTATTTTAGGAAATAAAATCTGTATAAGCAAAATTTGATGGTAAACAATTGTATGGAATTTTAAATTACTTTGTTTCTATTTTTCGTATTTTGCCAAGGCGTTGTCAGTTTCTCTCAACTTTAAATTTTGAATGTTCCCTTCGTATCTTCCGTCTCTTCCTTCAGTATTTGTAGCTTTTTGTTCTTATTTTTAAGAGAACGCAGGTAAAGATATTGTACTAACAATACATTAATCCGAGTACACAAAGATTAAATTCCAAAATTGATACAAAATTAAGGCAGAATAGCTATTATTATATGATTTTCAAAGAGAAGGAAAAATAAAATTACTTCTTCAACAGGGTGAAGATCAAGAACTAACTATATCAACTGCAAGTATAATGACGATCGGAATAACGATGCCGATTTCCATGGAAATGACACGTGTTTTGGAAAACGTTGATTAGGTGTTCTAGATATTGTAAAATAAAATATGTTAAAGTTAAACGTAATATTTTCAATGTCGTAAAATAAAAAAAAAAGGAATAAAAGAAACTTTACAAGCAAATGTTTACATCAAAAGCAGCATAATTATCAAACATTAAAATATGACCTAGGGTAATGAAATTCTTAAAGCCTAAAATATACTTTAAAATTGGTTCTTGATAAGAACCCGTCAGCACTAAATGATAAGTATATAAATTTCATAACTTTTCTAAACGTTTTAACCACTACTAACAAACCTGATTTTTAAACGTATCATTTGGTAAAATGTAAATTTTGGAATAGTAAAAGAGCAAAGATTGAGATCAAGAAAATGTTTTTTGTGATATTTTATAGTTCCATAAATTCTAAACAGCAGAAGATGAAAACGTATTGAGGGCAAAAATGTTTTGATATGTTTCCATGGTAAAGCAATTGATGGTTAATGAAAATTAAATAAACCAAAGAGATATTCAAGCTGATAAGTCGAAGACAACTTGACAATGCCATGGCAAAAAAAGAAAAACGACGAAAAACAAAACAAAACATAGAAAACTAATGACTTAAAACAGAGGATGATATCAGGTGGTCCGGACATTTATTTATCTTTGAACAATCACTTTTCACAATGAAAATAATTTTACTTCCCGAATATGAATGGAAGTAACTAACCAATTAAACAAACACATTAAATAAATATGTCTTACATTTCAAAGTCTGTTTTTGACTTGTAAGCGTCTAGTTCCCTGCTGAAATATTCTATTCCCCACCATCTTGGAACAGGATCGTTGTGATTGATATCTTGAGGAACGTCTTGATAAGGGTAAATTCCTTCTTGCAGAAAATGTAGTAGCGGGATACAATTCAACCAACAAGGGCTTTTGGAATTTTTCAACAATCTCTTCACCATTGACAATAAATATCTTGCTACTTCTCTAAATTCATGATATAATAATCATGAATAGGGCTGTTGCCTCGATAAAGATTAATTTCAGTATGTATATATTAGCGGGTAATTCTTTAATTCTTAGTTTGGTTCATATGTGTAAAAATTTAGTGCATAGCTTGAATTTTAGTGAAATCTGCTTATGTCCTTTTAAACCTTTTGCTATACTGTTCACCGCTTGTTCACTGATAAGACCTTGTTTGCGCTGAGTTTCAGTTTACCGTTAAATTACTCGATAAACTACTTATAAATGGGTTTTTTCTTTGTTGCAAAGCAAGAAACATTCTATAGTATGTATATTGACACCTGTATTATAAAATCAAACGATTAATTTTTCACTTAAAGAATATATCGCAAGTTTTTGTAAACCCTTAATATGGGGTTGATTGTCGAACATTTTTTTTGTCAGCTGTCATACAGAGATATTTCTTGTCAGAATTCATATTAAAAGCATTGCTACCAGATATAAAATATTGATCGTTAGGTGATTTTACAAGGCAATAAGACCGTGTTATTAAAATAGACTAAAATGAAATAAAAATAATAATTTCACAAGTACTGTAAATAACCATTTATACTTTTCGAATAGTGCTTCTAACTTAAATTGAAGAAATCAAAATTGGAAAATATATTACTTTTCCCAGTACTGGTACAGTAAACTTTACCCACATGTCCATTTTAAGACAACTTTTCTTTCAGGCATTTAAAAACAACGAATTTAAGAGTACCTAAAATTACCAACCAGAATGTTGAGGGATCTCATCATTTAAAAAAAATTAATAAAATGTAGTAAATCTAAATACATCAAAAATATTTAGAATTTAAAGCTTAACAAAAACTATACACAAATAATAAATTTTGAAATGTAGGTTATGATAAATGATATACATACCGACTCTTTGTAGGATAACTTTTATAAAAGTCTTCCAAGACTTCGCTATGTCTTTGTGCTGTATCCAAATTAGGAAGAAGGGCTTTACATAGATGAGACAAGTCTGTGATATCAAATGTAATGTCATATTGTTCTTTCAGGTATACTATGGACAAGGCAGTTGTTATCCCAGAATTAACAACGTTGTCACTATTTTTGGGGGGTTCCATGATCCTGTTTATCAATGACACTAAATTCGTTTTGAGCTTCTACAATATTTCAATCACTAGATATAGCATAAAGTAGACAACACAACATAAAGATTAGAGAGGCGCGCGAAAATATGCTTTGCTCATCCATCATTCACACATAAAAACTATATCAGTCACATATTTCAAAACTCCTGAAAAATTAAGAACATTTCAAATTGCTTTAAGAACATAATTAAATCCACAGATGAGTATAGGCAGACGACTTCCATGATTACACATTGTATATTCTTCTGAAAAAAAGTCAGATCCACACTTACAATATCTTGCTTGTGGTCTTATCCATGTTTGGCACACTTGTTTTCGGATTTGTTTTTGCGTATCAGATTTGTTTTTCAAAACCATTTTAATTCGTGCAGCACAAATGAATTTGATGAAGACGAATTGCCTGGTGTATTCAATTATAAGCCCGGTATCTGTGGTGAGTTTAATAACCGTTGGATTGATGCCATTTCTGGTGCACCTTTCATGTCCGATAGTACATGTATCACCAACTCAGGTTTTATACACACAGTCATTGATGACCTAGGGACATATATCTTATTAAAGATTAATCAACAACTATTAGAGACAGGTTGAAGCCCGCCTCCGGGTGCGCGATTTGCACGCTGTGTTGAGGACCCATTTGACGCATTCCCCGTTTCCATTCTCAATTTTATTAAACAATATTAAAAATAACAAAAAAAATTCCATTGTTTGCATGTAGATGCGTTCTTTATTACACATTTTCCTATTAAGATAAAGGACATGAACGTTTTTACCTAGGAATATTAATGACGTGGAAATGATTTCCTAGGAAAATTAGTCTGGGCACAAAAATTACTGACATCGGACTGAAAATACTAGTAAATTCTGTAACCATGGACCTTTTATACTAGTAATTTGCGTCCGCCCAGACATATTTTATCAGGCTAATTTATCTCGTACATTATCAGCTGTTCTCCTCACCCTTCAAAAATATAACTTATCACATATGAACGTATTTATACGTTTACTTGAAATACGTTAAGTACTAAAATTAAGTAGTCAGTACGTCGGTACTGAAATGATTCATAACATACATTTTCAAAATTCAATGTTCATAAGTTTAGAAATTGTCAAGTAATTAACGTTCCAACTAACGTCCGTTTTGGTCATACAGCATATTATGTTTTCAACTATTAATATCATTGGCTTGTAAATTTTTGGTTTTGAGTGTTCCTAATTTAGGTAAATCCAGAAAAGCTCTTGAGTACACCAAATAAATGAAATATAATTCTTATTTTTAAACTTGCTTTAAGAGACCGCAAGTATTCTTTGAAACGGCATAATATTGTTTAAAGGGGCATTAGCTGTCAAATTCGAGCTCACCGATTTGACTCAAATTCTCATATTTGATTTATAACATATTAAAACGCATATCCAAACTACTAAAAGTCTAAAATAAACAATTAACAATGCATGGACTCAATAATATATATCAATATTTCGTTTGTATTTTTGTCTGGACGTCATCTAATTAACCATCGAGATGAACTCCGAAGACTGCCAACGGTCATATAACCTGATATAGACATACATATGAATATAAATAAATCGCGACCACGTGCAATTGGATTTCTAGGTCTGTTTGATTTCATATTGTAGGTTAAGAAGTATGTCTATCATTGTTTTTACCTGTATAAGAATGATTTTTTTAGATCGAATCGGTCAACCAAATGGTTCATCCTTGTTTCACTTTCAATGTTGACAATCTTTTCCTTTTAATAGCCGAATGCATGCGTAACCCATCTCCAGATAAGGGGTTAAATTGAAGGTCACATGAATACGGATAAAATGAAGTCGAATCATTCACTTGCAAGTGAATAATTCATCAGCGATGTTTCATAGCTTATTTTGCCAAAAATGAATTAAATTGGCTGCTAAAAGCGAATAATTATTTCACTATTTCACTTTCATTAACGATTGAACAAAAAAAATCATATTTCATTATTAGTTTTATCTCGTAGCTAATCCCTCGGTTTAAGTTTGTTACCCGGATTTGTTTTTGCTTAATCGAATTATGACTATTGAACAGCGGTATGCTACTATTGCCTTTATTTAATGCCTCTTTAACATTGTTTTGCTTGTTTTTACGGTTTTGGTGACACAGAATTGTCATAATCCTTCGGGTAACATACAAAGTTCATAATGATTATGAATGAAAGAATATGGTTGTCAGTACAAAAAAGCAATGGTTATTGTGTGTATGCCTTATAAATAATATGTGTAAATGCGTTCTTATTTTAATTAAAGGAGCTCGAATAACTGGGAAGGGATACCATTTTGATCATGTGCTTAACAAGAAGTAGACTTCTACAGAATTTTTACTTATTTGATCAATTATTTTCATGCTTGAAGTCTTAAAATGAAAAATACCTGTGCAATTGTTTTATTGAAATCATCATCTGATGACCACAATTTTTCTTTCATGTAATAGCACTTTCTTAGACCCTGGACAATATCCGAAAAACGTTGAATCAATTCCTCTCCATTGATATTATTTATATCTGTGAGCAGACCACCTATAAACTCCATCATGGCTAGTTCAGCATCCGTAAGTAACATCTTTTGATATTCATCATTTCCCATCCATTTTGAAACTTTCTTAAGGCCTTTGTGTATCCATTTGGACAATACATTTTTATCTTTGTCTTCTTCGTCTAATGGTTCTCCTTGTACAACACCATCATATATGTGATACACATCTAAAATAGCAGTTAAAAGTAAATATGGCTTACCAGAACGATACTATTTAGACCACTATGTTGTAAAATAAAACACGTTCAACACAAAAAATGTTTGATTATAATATTTTAACAGTAACACTTTATGTTAGATAATAATTATACAATTAAACAAGGATTTAATAGTTTGTCCACTATTGCAAAAATGAAAACAACCCATATTAGATTTCCATAATCTTATCAAAACCTGACAAAATACTGTTTTGTAACATCATAAGGTCCACCAGTTGGATGGTTAGTATTCATATGAATTACCCCTTTCTTGTACATTTTTGCTACCCATTGTTCGATGCCATAATCCTTTCACTTTTTTTCCTTTTCCTTGCCTATAGATGAATTCTTTCACTTCTTCAGACCCATTTATTAGAACATAGTAGTTATAGAAGATAAGCTCCCCCTTTTTTGCTCTTAAAACGCCTTCATACTCTACAAAACCATCCTCAAATTCCCTGTTAAAAATCAAAAAACTATTATTAAAATATTTCATCATTTGCATTTCACTATGTATTCATACGGTTTATTTCAAATATTGTTTTCATTATTATTATCTAATTTTAAATAAGATTAATGTAATGTGTAAGTTATAAAAGAAACAGTTTAATAACAATCAAACGACTCATGCAGAGTAAATGACAAATTTCAACCTCCAAAAGCGTCCTTCGTTTCTTCTTTTCATTCTTAATTTCGCTTTGTTGAATTGTATGTTTAATTATACATTCATACTTGAATTATTGTGAAACTAAATAGGTTAATTAAAAGATTTCATTTGTTTGGAAAACGTCAATCTGAATCTAATTGATTTTGGCTTGGAAAAGAATGAAAAACGATTTTTTTCTATCACACCTTCTATAACTTCAGAATAATAGTCGAGTTTGTGATAAATTCTATGTTACCTAAAAATTAACATTTTCTTAGAACAATTGCACTCAGAGAGAGTGGATCTTCTGACTATTCTCTGAAGGTCTTTTTTTGATTTTGAGGCCCTATAACGTTTCAAGTCATAATTATCTATGGAAAAGTATCTAAAAGAAAGACTTTAAAATCATCGGAACATGTTTCTCTTTTATAAATAGTAATGGTACAATAAAGGATAATAAAATTGAGAATGGAAATGGGGAATGTGTCAATAAAGGAATCTATACCAGAATACGTTTATATGTTAAAAATAGGTGTAATGAATCGTACATTTTACGTAATTTCATGTTGAAACTGAATTTTGTAAGTTGTTCAAATGTATAAAAAGCGCCCTTCTACTTAATTTATAATTTCGTAATAGCTTATTAGAAATTAATAGTAAAATAAAGTGTAACGTTTCTACGGAGTGCTTCGCAAGATAAAAACATTCAGTCTGCTTTTGATATTGTGTTTGAGTAATTTTTTCCGTACTTTTTTGGGGTTCTTCGTTCATTTTAATGATTTTTTTTTATTTAATATTTCGGGCTTGTACGATTATCTGATATATTAATACTTATTAGATAAATTAATAAGATTTTTCAGTTTGGTTATTCACTTCAGCATGTGGTTTAGGAAACTTTCGTGAAAACAACCTAACACTTATCTAATTATTGCATATTTTTATTTATGTTATGCTAATCCTATGATCGAGTTTAAATAGTTGATATCTTAAAAACTTTATTCATCTGCGATCCAAAATAAGGAATATCGTCGTTAATTGTCGTATGTTTTTTTTATTTGCAAAATTTGATGTTGATGACAGATCCTGAATAGTTTTTGTTTACAGACGTCACAAGATACTTGTGTTACTTCGAAAAAAAACATGCTCTTCTTATTCTAAAACATATTTCAGTATCAATATAAAAATTTACTGCTAACATTCGATATATCAAAAGCAGGCTTATTTTATTCTCTTACTCAAATATTACAGGCATTATGTAGTGCAATGATAAATTAATGAGAAATAATAGTCCAAAGCTCGAAAAATTTTGTGTCTTGTCCTGCGTGAAGTGTGTCCCGTATGAGTTAATGTTGTGAAATATAAAATTATATCAGATTTAAAGATAAAATTGCTATTCAGAACATTCTCGCAAGTATGATTTTTTATACCACAAAAATGTACATTTACTGCACTTTTTGTCACTCTGAAAATTATAACGAAACTCGTGTTACGAATTTTGCATTATGCTGTTAAACATAAAACAAGTGTAGTGGATTCTTTTTTCTGCAAAACTGCTTATTTTTTCCCCCGTTCATAGATGTCAAAACACCTTGATAACACAATATTCGTTTTCCCTTCAAAAGCAGTTTGAGTCTAAAAATATGGGAATCAGATGACGCATGCAATGTGTCCCGTATGAGTTAATGTTGTGAAACATAAAGTTATATCAGATTTAAAGATAAAATTGCTATTCAGAAAATTCTCGCAAGTATGATGTTTTATACCACAAAAATGTACATTTACTGCACATATTCTCACTTTGAAAATTGAAACGAAACTCGTGTTACGAAATTTGTATGAAAAATATATAGATGTCCAAAGAATTGTCCCCTTAACACAAAATGTACGTTGATGCATTACATGTATATTCCGAGTGCCAGAAACTTCATTCAACAAGATTTATGATTCACATTTGCACAAGATTTGAAAAATACAAATGCTCAAGTAAGTATTAGTACATGTATGTTGATAGTGCGCTACAGAATAAAACAGATATCAATAAACAGTTGTGTCCGATCCCCCGTGCTCATTTTTAACGTTTTGAACGTCAAGACACGTGAATACTATTATACCAGTATACATAACGCAATGGTGTTAATACAAATACATGACTTACAAAACACTTCCTAAGTTCAGGAAAATTAAAACAATGACTCCACTTGTAAGACCATTTTCATGTTTTACATGTGATGTTTGTGTCGAAACAACCGCGGAGTGTGCTTAAATCAATTCAAAGTTTGTATAATTCGTATTCCTACGATGGGAAGGCCGGTAAGCAATGAATTTGATCAGGAAGATGAACAAATAGAAGTAGCAGCTCCATCGTTGAAATCCCGAGTGTCTGTCGGTTCTTTAGTTTCCGTGTTTACCGACGAGTTTACCTTAAATGCAAACTTATAACAAGTAAAAATGACATTATACCTGCTGCATCTGTTGATTTTATCTGTTCCTAAATTAAAGCAACCAATGACATTTTTTTTACCAGAATCATAACGTTAAGACACTTGAAAGTCTCAATGATTACATGTAGATCATAATCAAAAGCCTGTGAAAAAACTCACCCTAATTCAAATATTATACAATTTCTTTGTTAAGAAAAAGAAACGCAAACAAATGTTCTCCAGAAAATCTAAATTTGTTCTCAACGTTACTAAGAAATTAAACGGCGTAATCGTGTTACGGTAAGTGACACCAGTATCGTGCGACGTCTATTTAATTTGTTCAAGAACCTTTTGATTGATAGCGTTTGATTTTGTTAGTTTTATGGACTTGCCCTTTTTTAATTTGCCTTGGAGTTTGTTATTTTAGTATTATCTTTTTAGACTTAGAATTATTTAGATCTTGACATATAGTAAACAAAGGTTAATAAATTAAACCTGTCAATTGTTGAAGACTTTTGGTTGACCTCTATGTGTCTTTTAGTTTGTTATGTCGCTGAGATTCTATCCATTAAGGAATAAACTGCATCTTTATTTATTCAAGTTTGATTAAAAGAAATATACTGATTCTGTTGACATAACATAAGTTCAGGTGCCAAAGAAATCGATGAGTAAAGATGACATGATATGCAAAAACGCATAAAATTATGTTTATTTTCATCTTTCTGTATATAATTTACCTTTTACAATTCAACTGATTGGAATCGTCACTTCCTAAAAATTTCACTAATACTTTGTCTATTTTGGAATCAATTAGAATTGTCGGAGCCACAATAACATGCATACAGTAATCAACATCAGTATAATCCTTCCTTACTGCATTCTCATATCCTGTGTCACTGTAAATTGTAAAAACAACTTAAAAATTTGCATCATGAATTATTATGAAGTAGTAGTAAAAGATAAAGAAATAATCCGAATCTCAATAAAAAAAACTCGAAATGAAAAGTAGATTACCAAATTATATTAAATTGTATAACAACGAGTCAAATAACTACAGTCGAACCTCGCTTAGTCGAATTCGAAGAGACCGGACAAAAGCATTCGATTTATCTGAAGTTCGACTCATCCGAGGTCGAGTGTGCCGTCATAAATTTTGAATGCATGAAATACGTTGTGAGATTTGTGTAAACTAAATAAATCAAATTGAGATGAAAAGTATTCTACCAAATTATAGTCAATTGTATAACAACGAGTCAAATAACTACATGTATCATTAACTCTTCTAGCCCATCTAAATATAATTCAATCCAATAACCCTTCATAACTTATGGAAATAGTTTGCTTTGTTATGGATTTGGACTTCAAACTGTTTGAGCACCACAAATGAGATTCATGTAGATCAAACGCGTCTGGCGTACTACAATTATGTTATCATTTTGCATACTTAGTGGAATATATTTCCTTTAGTGGTACTTTTAACAGTACGAGAAGGAACAAGAAATCGGACAAACGAAACGGAAAGTAACAACGTTTTTGCCATAAAAAATAGCGATTTTCATATATTTCTTAGAACTAAACGGATACACAATAAACACGGGCCATACTGTCGAAAGTCCGCAATCTTGTCAATGGTTGTCTTGGACATATCGTAATGTGCTCTCCTTTATTGTTGACAGAAACTGATAATCTTTTGTTGCTATAATTAGAGGTTTTTTTTTTTTGTATATACACTTTATAAGATTGAATACGGAATGTTGGTCTATAGATGTAATTTTGTTCTTTGTGTCGTTGTATTCCTGTTTCACTGACGTATGGTCACATATACCTTACATCTCCTGTTGTTCATATTCCTTGACCATTATTAAACAATTGCTTTCGTAAACAGTTTATTTCGAATATATTACCTTTTATACACATGTTCTTCTGCCATCATAAAGTTGAAAAGTATGTTTTACTCTCTCTGAAAAAATTAGAAACCTTTAAAATATCATGGTCTATAAAGGCAACAGTAGCATTACGCTGTTCAATAGTCATAATTCGATTAAGCAAAAATAAATCCGGTTATCAAACTAAAACCGAGGAATCACATCAACTATAAGAGGAAAACAACGGAACAACAGAAACACTGAACTACAACAAAAGAAAATGCCAACATACATATATAGAAACGGACTGTAGATAACAACTGCCATATTCCTGACTTGGTACAGGACATTTTAAGATAAAAATGGTGAGTTAAATCTAAATTTTTGGCTAGCCAAACCTCACGTTTATATGGCAATGTTAAAAATACCGCTAAAATGACAAAACTACGTTTCAGGAATACAGTAAAAACAAGAGGCTATCAGAGTGACAGCAAACAGGACTTTCCTGCAGAGGTCGAACCCTGAACAGTTGAGCAAGTATGGACACTACATTTAAGCTTAAAACAGCTCTGAATTTGGATTGTGATTGAATATTTGACAGAGCATAAGTTTGTGACACAAAATGAATGTGGTCAAAGAAATCAAATATTTGAAATTGGACGTTTAAATACCTATTATGGTCCAATATCCAAAATCTAAGTAAATATTAGAATCAGCATATCAAAGAACCCCAATAATTCAATTTTTGATGAAATTAGACAAAAGTTTAATTTAGGACCCTTTGGACCTCAATGTGGACCAATTTGATAAAGGAGCCCACAATCCAAAATCTCTCAATACATGGTTAGATTCAGCATTTCAAAGAACCCCATAAATTCAATTTTTGTTGAATCAAACAAAGTTTAATTTTGGACCCTGATTTGAACCAACTTGAAAACTGGGCCAAAAAATCTAATATTTAAATACAGGTTTAGATTCAGCATTTGAAAGAACCCTATATATATTTAGTCTTTGTTGAAATGAAACACAGGTTAATTTTATCCATAATATTTTCTGTGCAAAGAAAATAACTCAAACTGGATAAATAGTTCTCTAAAATAAGATATGATGCAATTTTTCAAATTATAATCAATAAAATAATAATAACAACAACCAGTAATGACTAAGTTCTCTAAAATTAGATATGATTTAACACTCAAACATTGTTAGAATCAGCATATCAAAGAACCAAAGAATTCAATTTTTGATGAAATTAAACAAAAGTTTAATTTAGGACCCTTTGGACCTCAATGTGGTATTATCTTATTAATAATAAAAAGAAATACAGGTTTAGATTAAGCATTTCAAAGAACCCTATATATATTCAATTTATGTTGAAATCAAACACAGTTTAATTTTGGACCCCGATTTGGACCAACTTGAAAACTGGGCCCAAAATCAGAAATCTAAATATATGTTTATTAATAAACAATAAAAGCTTAGTTTTTAAAGGAGTTCACTTCATAAAAAAAAAAATATATGGCATTCAGAAAATTAGTTTTTACAGAATAGCAAACAAACTTGCCACAAAATTCAAAAAGAAGAAAAAAATCCAAAATTTTATTTAACATTAATACAATGTCTTTTCAAAATCTATAAAACTTATCAGTAACAAGAAATAATTGTAACAGGATGCTGTTACGAAGTCCCCTAAACAAAGCGCCAATAATTCGTCATTCCCATGGTCGCCTGACATTGGTCAAAGTCCAGTACAAATCGGTTTGTGATATGCATAAGTGACGCCTATGGATTGACACTGTATGTCATTCAAATCTTCTTGAAATTACGAACAGGAATATATTTGGTTTAGCGGTGGGGATCTCGACCGTTTACAAGTTCTCAAAAGGGGGGAGGTGTGTGATCCCCAGGGGACTCATTATTTCATATGATTTGTTTTTTTGTCCCATACAAGAATATATATGGTTTAGGGGTGGGGATCTCGACCGTTTACAAGTTCTCAAAAGGGGGGAGGTGTGTGATCCCCAGGGGACTCACCCTTTATTTCATATGATTTGTTTTTTTGTCCCAAACAAGAATATATATGGTTATGGGGTGGGGATCTCATCCGTTTACAAGTTCTCAAACAGGAGCGGGGAGTGGGGGTGACCCCAGGGGACTCGCCCTATATTTCATTTGGTTTGTTTTATTATCCCATACAAGAATATATATGATTTAGGGGTGGGGATATCGACCGTTTACAAGTTCTCAAACAGGAGGGGGTGGTGGTAACCCCAAGGGACTCGCCTTTTCTTTCATTTGATTTGTTTTATTGTCCCATACAAGAATATATATGGTTTCGGGATGGGGATGTTGACTGTTTACAAGTTTTCAAAAAGAAGGGGGATGGGGGTTACCCCAGGGGACCTCCTCAATTTCATTTGATTTGTTTTATTGTCCCATTCAAGACTATATTTGGTTTAGAGATGGAGATCTCGACCGTTTACAAGTTATCAAACAGGAGGGGGTGGGGGTGACCCCAGGGAACTTGCCTTTTATTTCATTTGATTTGTTTTGTTGTCCCATACAAGAATATATATGGTTTAGGGGTGGGGATCTCGACCGTTTACAAGTTCTCAAACAGGAGGGGGTGGGGTGACCCCAGGGGACTCGCCTTATATTTCATTTGATTTGTTTTATTGTCCCATACAAGAATATATATGGTTTTGGGGTGGGGATCTTGACCGTTTACAAGTTTTCAAAAAGAAGGGGGGTGAGGGTTACCCTAGGGGACTTCTCCTCTTTTTCATTTGATTTGTTTTATTGTCTCATTAAAGAATATATATTGTTTACGGGTTGGGATCTCGACCGTTTACAAATTATAAAAAAGAAGGGGGATGGGGGTTACCCCCATGGACTTCCCCTATATTTCATTTGATTTGTTTTATTGTCCCATACAAGAATATATATGGTTTAAGGGTGGGGATCTCGACCGTTTACAAGTTATCAAACAAGAGGGAGTGGGTGTGACCCCAGGGGACTCGCCTTTTATGTCATTTGATTTGTTTTATTGTCCCATACAAGAATAAATATGGTTTCGGGGTGGGGATCTTGACCATTTACACATTTTCAAAAAGAAGGAGGGTGGGGGTGACCCCCCTGGTATCCCCTATATTTCTTTTGATTTGTGTTATTGTCTCATTCAAGAATATATATGGTTTAGGGGTGGGGATCTCGACCGTTTACAAGTTCTAAAACAGGAGGGGGTTGGGGGTGACCCCAGGGGACTCGCCTTTTATTTCATTTGATTCGTTTTATTTTCCCATACCAGAATATATATGGTTTCAGGGTAGGGATCTTGACCGTTTACAAGTTTTCAAAAAGAAGGGGGGTTGGGGTTACCCCAATGGACTTCCCCTATATTTCATTTGATTTGTTTTATTGTCCCATACAAGAATATATATGGTTTAGTGATGGGGATCTCGACCGTTTGCAAGTTCTCAAACAGGAGGGAGTTGGTGTGACCCCAGGGGACTCACCTTTTATGTCATTTGATTTGTTTTATTGTCCCATACAAGAATATATATGGCTTCGGGGTGGGGATCTTGACCATTTACACATTTTCAAAACGAAGGAGGGTGGGGTGAACCCGGAGACTCCCCCAATATTTCTTTTGATTTGTTTTCTTGTCCTATACAAGAATATATAAGGTTTAGGGGTGGGGATATCGACCGTTTACAAGATAAAAGCACATTCTCAAATTGAAGGGGGGTGGGGTAGGAATATTTATGGTTTAGGGAGACTTAATTATCTACGAAATGTCTAATAATGAAAAGTAATTTTTAAACTTCATTTATACAGTCCTACTAGTAAATTTCAAACTTTATTTCCTACAGATCTGATCAGGAAACAGAAAATTTTCAAATAAATCTGTCACTCCAATGATTATCATATGCTAAGATATAACCCATATCTAATTAATAATTAATAATGTAATTAACTTGAAAATGTCTAATAATATAGCTCATAATCATCACCACTGAGAAAATAGAAAATTTGCAAATAAATCTGTCAATCCAATTTTTATTGTGAGATAAGACATTATGCTGAGTCATCATATGATAACAAGAGAGAAAAATATTTAAAAATTCCCAATTTTGGATATTAAAATAAAAATGGCGATAACTCAAAAAGGAGAAATACTAAAATCTTGAAAATTGAACTAGACCTTCATTAAGTCCCAGGAAACAACATATGTAAATTTGAAAAAAAAATGTTAAAGCGTGTTCATGTTATTGTAGAGACACTGTTTGGCAGCCGCCCGTCCGCCCGCCCAGCCGCCCGCCATACATCCCCAATTTAATAACCGATATTTCCTTCGAAAATCCGAATAACAAACGCAAGAACACTCAGCACAGAGAACTACATAAATAAATAATATAATAGTACATAACAAAATGTAAAACGCAGAAAAACAACGGACACCTTATAGGAATTTACGACAGCACACCAGGACACTACTATCATTGATGCAGGGTGATAGGACTGGTCGACAAAGTTAACATCAAATGCTTCTGTTGGTATTGCAGAATGAGTGACAAAATATGGGGTAGATATCATATCATATGATAGAATCAAGCCCTCACATCTATCAAATGGTAAGTTCTCAACAAATCCAACGAAAACGGTATCACTCTTTGGTCTTCTTTTATTTCTTTTGTCGTAATAACCGTATAGAAAAATGAATTGAATTGGGTTTTGGCATATTTGGACCGTTGATATGTCGGAAATCGCTAGAACATTCACCGAAGAACAACCATTGATAAGGTTGTTTCATCCTTTATCAATTGCAGAAAGAACACACTTAAAAGTAACAAAGATTATTTAACTTTGTTTACAAAGATAGCATTTTCTACGATCTTCCAAAGAGGTTCACAAAATCGATGATAAACAATGCATGAAATAGAGGTGCAGCTACTTGTTTCGAAATAGGAGAACCATGATTAAAAATTGCGTTCTATAAGCTCTTGTTACAGAACATATTGATTTTACTAAAGCCATATCTATAATACTATGAAGGAACGGATTGTCAGGAAAACTCGTGATTTAAAATGAAAGAGATATTAGTATGGTTTTGCAGGTTACTTTTGCATTGGCATATATTCTCTTAAAGGCAAAACCTTTACAAATCTAAGCTTTTTTTTTCAAATACGAGGGTTCTGATCTCCCCCTCTACATAAGTTTACGGAAAATTCAAACATACGAGATATCGACCGATTTGTAATCACAATACTGATATATAATGATAATGTTTTACTTCCAAACACTGAGCAACTTTAAACCTAATGCCTTCAACAGATTGTATTAGAGAGTTTGGTGATAGAAAAACGTTTCTTTTTATTATTATTGTATTTGGGTATTTTCCAATTATTTTATAGTCATTATATTGCATCATTGAGCCTCAAGGACATTGCAAAAATAATAACATCACCTACAGTTTGTGTTTGTAGACTTTATCAAATGAGTTATTCCCCCGAACTCTAATTAAAACAGGAAGACCGAAAACCTCTCATATAAAATCATTAAACACTTTTTTATTACTAACTGTCCACTAGAAAAGACAATGTGACAATTTGACCTAATGTGGATTTACATAGTGAGTGAGGCATGCACAATAGGACACGCTTACCCCGAAGATACATCCGGTCTTGCTCATGTTACCATCTTTTATTGCACAAAATGCGCATTTCGACAATTAATATCTTTTCAATGCCTCCCTGTAAACTACTGTTGCCTCTAATTGGAATAAACTTTTAATAAAAGAGATAATGCTGTTTTATGTTTGAATGGTATCCTTATACTATTAAAGCAAATACATGTTCATGAACTTTAAACCGTTATCATATGCAGATGCTTTCTAGATAAATTCGTGCTGTCTTAATAGATAACAACTTCAAGTATCAGTTGTTTTAGATTTTATACTATGCTAGCCTGACATTTGTTCAAAAGGATATCTTGCTATCTAAGGTTAGCACAGTACAAGGTTGCAAAATAGATAAGAATAACACTAGTTCATATGCAAGACGAAGGTTATTATAGAAATATTTATTTTGACCCAGATTTGTTCCTGTTGTCACTGTTTTCCAAGCATATCTAAGATAGGTGTATTAAGTCATTCATTCTGATAGTATATTGTTGAAAATCATGCATATGGCGATGTTACATACCTGTTTACGAGGCTTGATTAGACAGGAAGAAAATAATTTATGTTAATGAAATTTGCACTTAATAAGAAAGCAACACAATTTTGCGAATGTACTATTTAGTGGATCTTATATATAGTACGCAAATGTTTAACATTGTGCTAGTTCCCCCTTCCACACATATTTACAAAAAGACCAGCCTACCATTTTAATTTATTTAATCTACAACAAAATATTTGCCTTTAAAATGTAGGCGGGGATGGTGATTGAGACTGACGCATGTTTTTAAGATATTTTCTCTTTTAGTAAACTGTTGTAGCTCAACAGGGCGAGAAATATCTATTTTTACAAGAAACAGTATATATTTCAAGTAAGATGGTGATAACGAAAGTTAAATGTTTGAGAGTTTTCGAAAATATATGGTTTACGAAACCCTTTAAAAGTAACATGGGTATATATTCTTGCAAGGTTGTGCTCATTTAATTCGGCGTCATCAGAAGATATTCTAACGAACAGTACAAGTTGTGAGATGTACATGCCATCTTTTTTAGTGCCCAAACGTTTTTTTGTAGCGTATTTGTTGAAGAATATTACATGATTTGTGTGCACTAATTCTCCCAAATTTGAATCATCTTACGTTTTGTATAACTACATTGCATCACATGTATATGTCAAGGAGAGTGAAATAACTCAAATGACTATTGACATGATTTAGATAATAGTTGAATTGAATAACTTTGACTCATAAGTTATATTAATTAATCAATTGTTCTAAAAGTAAATCGAAAGTATCTCTTCCTCTTTTTAAAATTTTGAACTTTCGATATTACCACCAAAAAAGGCGTAAACAATTACATGAATTAGATAGTTATTGTTCACTATTGTTAAATTACAAACTTAAAAATATATTTCAAGACATTTTACAGTGAAAACTTATTTCGGTTAAGTTTTAAATAAATTAATTCTTACCATTCACACAAGAATACAAATGCAGAGTACATGTTTTCGCAAAACACGTCGTCAAATATGAATATAGGTCACACCGACTTTCAGTTTGAATCTTTTGAATTTCAGAAATCCCAATCAGATCAAATACATATATGTCACCTAGCCTGGCTATTAAAGACGCAAGTTATTGTCATTCAACAAGGAAGTTCTTTCCTCAGGTTCTTTCTATCTCTTGTTATTATTAGTTGTCAAATATATTTATATTTTACGAACGAATATGCGGAAAGCATATATTATTTAGTTTTTGTATTGCTCCTATTTATTCATTGGTGTCAGTCAGTTCATAGATATATTATATTTGCTGTTTGGTCGTTTTTACAAACTTCTATGTAAACATTTTTCTTATGCGCATACCTGAAATAAATTCTAACTATATTTAATATTTTATATAAAAAAAGTTAGAATATTTAACTTTCGTTCCATCAAAGGGAAATGCATTGTGCAATGTTGTGAAATGGTTCCTTTACAATTAAAAGTTCAATATTAATCACATTACCAGACTTTTCCTAATTCTTTTTCAATTGAGTTGTGCCCGAAACTGCTGAATCATAACAGTAATATATGGAAATTGAGTCGAGCCATGTAAAATTTATCAACACAATAAACAGTTTACTATGAAAACCAGACCGAAAGTGAAAATAATTTTAAGTGCAAAACAGTAAAGATTTCAAAAATGAATAAAAAAAACCTCTAGTGAAAGTATAGTGGTGTTCAGTGGTGAATAGCCCGACCTGAGCATTGGTTCAACGGTTCATAGATTATAATACGGAAATTATATAAGGTGCAATTTTAAAATCTATCTATGTAACATAAAAAGTAATTTTCAAAGCTTTCAAGGACCATAACTCCTGAACCATAAAAGTGAAAATCGTCATTATCAAATCTGACATGTCTTAATCACTAACAGCATATCAAAATTTTAAAAGCATTGGTTGAATGGTTCATAAGTAATTGCAGGGGAAACAACATAAAGTGTCATTTTCAAATCTACCAAGGATCATAACTCCTGAACAGTAAAAGTGAACATGACCTTGATTTTGTCATCAGTATCATATTTTTTAATTTGAAAAGCTTTCATTGAACAGATTATAAGTTATTGCACGGAAACTGTTGGCAGCCTCTCGTTAGTCCGCAGGACGTACCTCACCAAATTAATAACCCGCCTTTACCTCCGGAAAACCCGGTTCAAAATGTGGTCTACTTTAAAGTTTTTCCTGAACAAAATATAGTGGCAACATAACTGTGCCATTTATGGATTTGCTAACAATGCTTTTCCTTACAGAGCACCAAACTGGCCCCTCTGAGCTTTGTTCTAAAGGGATTGTGATGATTTTGCTTTTAGTGTTGTTTTTCATCATGCTAATAGAGTTTCATATCTATCCTTTGTCCTGAAAAAATCTTGACTACATTTTGAACAATCACATTCGATCATTTTTTATGGATCGAGAATTTACAGTTACAGATGGTTTAACAATTTGGTGGTGTCCTAGGGATAGACAAGAGACATTCACTAATCTGATAATGTTTGATACACAATTACCTGCTGAATTATCAACATATTGTAACACTAACATGTCACTCTCTGTGGTGCAAACTCTGTTGACAGTTTTTTTGAGCACCCGAGTTCACCCAGTTTTTTGGAGGGAAAAACGTTGCTCAAACTTAGTTTTCATGTGAAGTGTTTTGTGGCCTGTTGTATCAGAGTCACCAATGTTTTGACCATTGTGTTGTCTGTTTTTCTTCAATCTTGGGATTTTGATTGCGCCCTTGGTATCTTCTCCCCTTCCCTTTCCATGATCTTGATTATATAAAAACAACCTTATAGTATTTGTACTAACATCAGGCAAATTATAAAAGTGCTAGGTTGAAATTTTAGTAGTTAGCCAGAAAAATTATGTACTCAATGTGGCACAATCAGACAAAGAGAAAAACTTATATGCACCCTTAATTTTGTTTTTTCGTTAGGGGAAAAACCCTGGGAAACTGGTATTTCCAAATGAAAGAAAAGTTCACAGAAGTGAAAACATTTCATCTAACAAATATAAAATAAAATGCTCCGCTGAGCGCAGCTTGGTACGAATGCAGGGGTCGAACCCTGAACAGTTGGGGCAAGTATGGACACAACATTTAAGCTTAAAACAGCTCTGAGTTTGGATTGTGATTTAATATTTCACACAGCATAGGTTTGTGACACAAAATGGACGTGGTAAAAGAACTGACAAATTTGAAATTGAACATTTACCTTTTATGGTCAAATATCCAAAATCTAAGTACATTGTTACAATCAGCATATCAAACAACCCGAAAAATTCAATTTTTGATGAAATCAAACAAAAGTTTAATTAAGGACCCTTTGGACCTCAATGTGGACCAATTTGATAACGGAGCCCAAAATCCAAAATCTAAATGCATTGTTAGATTCAGCATTTCAAAGAACCCCATATATATTCAAATGATGTTGAAATCAAATACAGTTTAATTTTTGACCCCCATTTGGACCAACTTGAAAACTGGGCATAAAAGAAATAATTAAAATACATGTTTATTAATAGACAATATAAGCTTAGTTTTTAAAGGAGTTTGCTTCATAAAAAAAAAAGATATATATATAGCATTCAGAGAATTATTTTTATAACAAACAAACCTACTACAAAATTATTCAAACAATTTACCAAAGAAAAGAAAAAATAATTTTCAAAATATCATTTATTTTTTAGTACAGTGTTTTTTTTTAATTTATAAAACTGTAGTTATCTTCAAAATATCTAATAATGAACATTAAATTTCAAACTAAATCTATACTGTTCTACAGAGCTTATCATCAACAACACATAGGAAACACAAAATTTTCAAATAGTTATAGTTAATTGTAAAAAATCTATTATACAAATTGTGTGTAGTTTTATAGGAAGAAAAACTAAATTTTCAATTTCTTTTTGTTATGTGTAGGGAATTTCATTATAAACTTTCCTTCGTTCTTTTTTTTATATTTGATTTCTATGATTAGGTTATAAAGATGTTAAATATTATTAATAATATCTAATAATAAACAGTAAATTTCAAACTATCTCTATACATAATCTCTTCTCTACAATTAGATATGATGCTGTATCTATTTTTAACTATGACTCAACATAAAATTTCGATTAATTAATTGTGAATTACATCTCTTAATTTAGATTCTGATTAAATATTTGATATAGCATAGTATCTGACACAAAATGAATGTGTTCTAAGTACTTAAATAATTTAAAATTGGACCATTACCAACATGACCAATAATGGTCCCATGTCCAAATTCTATATACCGTATAGCGGGTAAGTTTCGCAGGGTGTTTATTTTCGCTTATTTTGGCGGATGAAGGAAAATCGCGAAAATAAATTCCGCGAAAATTTATGCATACATTCGGTACTTTCTAATAGCTAAATCATTTTGTAAACGATCTATGTTTTTTTTCGCTCGACGGGTCCATAGCTGTCTATTATAGTTTAAACCACACAAATGCCAAAGGGCATTATTGACATATGATTCATAAAATCGTTGCATGTCAAGTGTTAATTAGTTAATTAGTGTCAAATAATATGTATATGTAAGAGAATGGTAATCCTTTTCTTCATGATTAAGTACGAGCTAACTTGAATACTGTGACCAAAATCAAAAATCTAAATACACGCTTAGATATAGCATATCCAAAAACCCAACCATTCATTATTTTTAAATCAAACAAAGTTTAATTTGGACCATTTGGACCTTAATGTGGACCAATTTTAAAACAGGTCCCAATATTAAAAATCTAGATACATGGTTATATTCAACATATCAAAGAAATCCAAAAATTCAATTTTTGAAGAAATCAAACAAAGTTTAATTTTGGACCCTTTGAAATTTAAAATAGATCAATTCAAAAACAGACCAAATATCCAAATAATAATACCCAATTAGATTCAGCATATTAAAGAACCCCAAGAGTTCATGACTTTGAATTAAACCCCATTGAAATTGTTAAAGAAATAAGCAATTTAAAAATATTTTTTTTATTAAGATGTAACATAACATAATGTATGGCACAATTGTATGTAAAAACTTCACTTACCTACACTTGCACTTCAACAGATGGACAAAGGTCTATTTTAATTTCCAAGGGAATTTTCAACCATAAGAAAATATTCAAACATGTTAACAATCTCTATATAGAACACAATGCAAACACAATTAAAAACCAATTGTTCAGAGAACAATTGAAGGTCTTTCCACCAGTAAGGATCTATTTTGATATGAAATATTAAAATTTGGTTTTAAATGTCAATTCCAGAGTCAAATGACAGCTTATTGTACGCTGATTCCAAAAATATATGGTATCTATACAAAAAGATATAAATAAGGGAGATAATTTTTTACTTCCGGTTTGAAAAATGTCACTTCTGGTATTGTTTGATAGTTTACTTGACACTGATTCCCAAAATATATGGTTCTATATACTTTCAAATTAATTTAATACAAAAAATAGCTACTTCCGGTTTACAAAAGGTCACTTCCGGTTGCCTTTTTCAAGTTCAAATGTCTTGCAACCTAATGCAAAATCCAATGGCTTTATCATGTATACTTATGAGGTAAAAGCAAAGGTCAAAATCTAGAATGTTAAATTTACCTATGACCTTGAGCTCAATTTCAAGGTCATAAACCAAGGACCTCAAATCAAAAGACCCTAGGTCTTAATTATATATGATAAATGAGTTATATCACCATACGTGTAATTTAAAATATAATAGGGGAGAAAACTCCCATTAAATGTCTCTGTACGCTTTCAACTCAACTTTACCTGTTACGACATATCCCAACTAACAATTCTGTAAAATATTTTGTCGATATCTTATAAGATTTCTGAAAATTAGTGATAACAAGCCAAAATCAAAATTTTGAACATGACCTTGACCTTTGACCTTGACCTCATTTTCATTTTTATGGACCAAGGACCTCAAATCAAAAGACCCTAGGCCTCTATCACTTATGGTTTTCCAGTTACAAATACATTTCACAAATATCAAATACAAAAGGGGAAATAACTCTCATATGAAGTCTTCGTAAAGCTTCGGTCTA